TTGAGTTTCATGGAGGGTCTGCAGGCCGCACCACAGAGGAGCAGGTGTGGAGCCAGCCCGGCCTGCTCGGCAGCCAGGAGGAATATGGCCTGTTCACTCCTCAGGCCTGCGGACGTAGCCAGCACAGGACCTGACTCTGACTTCGCAGAGGTGTTTTAATTCAGCCCCCCCACCCCCAAAATGGCTTTTCTAAAGACAACACACATTTTACAGAGAGCCTTTTGTATGGAGTTACTGGGGACTCATTCAAAAATAATAGGAGCTCCAGACTGCAGAATTAAAAAAAAAAAAAAAAGGTTCTGTCACTCTAGACACAGCTCTAGTCTTCCACCTCCTACTAGTTGGCCCATTTATACCAAAAGGAATGAGAAATTTAATCCCTGGTGCTTTATAAAGAAGCCATTTTTTTGCTTTGGTTGTGGTTTGCTCTGTGTGTGCTTTTTTAATGGCAGTGTTTAATAATGTTTATATTGCCTTTAACCTTTGACTAACTTTGTAGTTAAGTTCCCAGATGTGGTGTCACATTCAATACTGGCAGGCTGCTCCTCCCTCCTTTGAGACCATGGACTTCTTATTCCTAGAAGGTTTTTTGTCCCCTACCTGTCCTCTTGATCGCTCCTACCAGGCAAGCAAGCATGGGGTAGTAGGCGATAGTAGTGGTAGGCATTTCATATTGATCAGAGGCTATGTACCAGGCACTGCACTTTGTGATTTACTTCTGTTATTAGATCTTGAGAACAAACTTATGAAGCGAAAGCTATTATTGTCTGGCCTCAAATGTAAGGTCAAGTATTTTCCCCAAAATCAACCCTCAGAAGAGAGGGTGTCCTTTGATGTTTGGGTCCTTACAAAGACTGCCCCATTGTGGGGATTACTGTATTTTAAACCACAAAGTAGTTTAATTGTCCCAATATGAAAAGGGGTGTCTGAGGGGATGCTTAATTTTCAGACATTTGTGGTAGTTTGTCCATTCTCCAGGTGAGGAAACTGAGACTTGGAGAAGTTAATTTAAGTTGCCCAAGGTCACACAGCTCGTAAGTGCTACAGCTGTTTCTCAGGCATATAATTTTACTCCCGTAACCTCATTATCAGTCCTCCTCAGATTCTTTCTTTCAGCTTTAAAAAGGTTTCAATCTAGGTTCTCACTGATCTTTTCCTTTTTCTTGTTGAGGTTTCATTCTAAGAGAAGAGAGTATTGGAAAATTGATATACATCCAATCTGGAGTCATGCTTTTATGGATAGTCCTAGGAGGGTCTAATTGGCCTTCCAAGCCAGTGTGTATAGGATTCCCTCTCGTTCATCCGTGCCAGACGATCTCCCTGCCTCCCTTTGCCATTGATGGGAGGTTCATTTCTTCCTGAGTCAGTCCCTTACTTTGGTTCCTCTGTTTGAGGAGTTCTTACTCAGCTGAAATTGTCTTTCCTGGAATTTTCAGTCTGACAGAAGGAGATCCAAAAGTACCTGGATTTGTCTCTTATTATCTTCCCTTCCCTCAACTTCCCTTTCCCTTTCTTCCCCTCATCTCACCTCCCCTTGCCAAAAAAATGTTTTATTGTAGATTATTTTAGATGTATAGAAAAGTTGTCAAGATAGCACAGAGAGTTCTGTATATCCCTTACCTTATTGTAAAAATAGATGTATGTATATCAGCCCATGTCATACACGTATCTATGATATTTCTGTATCTACATTTGTTTCTGCAGTAAAGCTTTTCTTTTGAGCATTTATATTTTTCTGTGTAGCCAGCAATGAAATGTGATTCACAGCCTACTATCACCAGTGGTAATGTTAAAGTTAAAGTTAAAATGGAGATCTTGGCATATATATGGCTTAAGAACTGAGCCATCTTTTAGTTGGATCATGTCATTTTAGAGATGAAAAGATCCTGAGAAGTTTATTGGGATCCTACGAGGTTAAGGGGCTGCTTAGTGGTACAGTCAGGTTTGGAATCTGGGTGTTTGAAATGGAGTCTTTTTATTTCCACCATATCTCATGGCTCTTTAAGACTGATCAGTATTCTTCACTTTGTATTCAACTTAATAATTAGCTTTTGGGAATGCTTTAAGCAGATTAGAATGTAATTTTATAAATTGATGTGCACAGGTATTACCTAGCTAACAGATGTCTGCTAGAGTGTTACCAATGAGGTAGTTGGTTCTCCAGCAATATATCTTAGATCAACAATTTGAAAATGATGCTCTCATGGCCAGATGTTAGTGCGTGAACCTTTTCAAATGATTATGATGATTATTCTACCTTGTTTTACTTTTTATAACTATCTTTTAAAAAAATCCTTTTGCTCTGGGGAGAGAATCATAGGACTCCTATAGGATAGATACTTGATGCATATACCTGCTTTTTAGAAATGGGATATAATGAAGCAATGAAGGAATCTGCTTAATGTTATCCAAAATGTTGGTGATAGGGTAAAAAGGAAAAATGAAAGCTGTAGCCCCCACAGCCCCACTTCTAACAGGCCAGCCACACAGCTCCTATATTTCAAATTGCTCTTGGCAGCTTGTAAAGCAGAGAATACTTGAATGCTTGTCTCCAGGGACTCCTGAGGTTATAGGACAGTCCTAGGATGCCTTCAAACGTTCTAGCTATTTCCTTTGAGAAGTGGGTGTGTTTACACTGGTTAAATGTGTCTTGTCACCATGTAACACTAAAATCATCCTGTTCTTTTCCATCTGTACCTGTTCATTCCAGAGACTTATCATTTTGTTTTTGTTTGGTGCATTGTGAACATCCAAGATTTTTAGTGGAAATGAATGGTAACAGCTGTTTTTCATGTACCAAATAATATAATTGTAAACCTTAACCTTGAGATGATATGTCCAAATTTTTCCAAGTGTGGAAATGACTTGACTAGAAAAGTTCGTTTTGGGGTAGTTATCCCAATACAGAATCACATCTATCTGCTTGCCATCAGCTTCATTCAAAGAGAGCATTTCTGTAGGTTATTTTTTAATTCCAACACTCCCTTCTTAACCTGGCTTTTCCTCTTTAACAGCGTATTTTCATACACATAAACATACACATACCCTAATGTCCCATCTTCCTTCTTTTCTACTTTATTCTTCTCCATAGCTCTCACCACCATCTAGTATACTATATATTTTACTCCTTTAGCTTCTTAATTGTCTGTTTCACCCAACTAGAATGTAAGCTTTATGAGAGTAAGAGATTTGTTTCATTGACTGCTATATCCCTAGACCCAGTATAATACCTGGAACATAGTAGATACTCAGTGAACCCCTCTGAATGAATGACATGGAAGTTGCAAGTTGTGATCATTTGGCCTCTGATTTTAATATAAATACAAATAGTTGAGTTTTATTTTCTAGGATTATTTTATATTATAAGTGAAATAAAGCACATTATTTAAAATGGGGATTTATCTATTCACTAAAAATCTCAGAATTTGTACGAAACATGGTATAGCTATTTAGAAGTGATGCGGTTACTCCAGAAATGCTGTGCTGTTATCACATGCAAGGAATTTTGAAATTCTCTGCTAAATATCACTCATGAAATTAGTGGAAAAGCTAAAAGGAAAAACATGTTTTAAGTTATAAAGTGGATTACCTTCAGATTTACCCAAAGATATCTTGAACCCTAAGTGACATTGCCCAGTTTGATCCCTTATTCTATTCACCAGGTTTAGCAGAAAATGACTGTTCCTTGTTATAAAAAAAAAAAAAAAATCCTATAATCAATAATCGCACTATTGGGTATTTACCCAAAGAATACAAAAACACTAATTTGAAAGGATATATGTACCCTTATGTTTATTGCAGCATTATTTACAATAGCCAAATTATAGGAGCAGCCCAAGTGTCCATCAATAGATGAATGGATAAAGAAGTGGTATGTCAGGGCACCTGGATGGCTTAGTGAGTTAAACGTCTGCCTTAGGCTCAGGTCATGATCCCGGAGTCCCGGATCAAGCCCCACATCCGGCTCCATGCTCAGTGGGGAGTCTGCTTCTCCCTCTGCCCCTCACCCCACTCTTGTACTCTCTCTCTCTCTCAAATAAATAAATAAAATCTTAAAAAAAAAGAAGTGCTATGTATATACAAGGAAATATTACTCAGCCATGAAAAAGAATCAAATCTTGCCATTTGCAACAGCATGGATGGATCTAGAGAGTATAATGGTAAGTGAAATAAATCAGTCAGAGAAAGACAAATACCATATGATTTTACTCATATGTGGAATTTAAGAAACAAAACAAATGAACAAAGAAAAAAAGGAGACAAACCAAAAAACAGATACTTTACTATAGAGAACAAATGGTTACCAGAGGGGGAGGTGGGTGGAGGGAGGGGTGAAATAGATGATGGGGATTAAGAGTACCTTTACCACGATGAGAACTGAGTACTGTATAGAATTGTTGAATCACTATATTGTACACCTGAATTTAATATAACCCTGTATGTTAACTATACTAGAATTAGAATTTTCAAAAATTTTAAAAATAAAATAAAAATAAACTTTGATTTTGGAATAAAAAAAAATCTATTCTGACTAATATTTGCCAATATAGAGAATATTAAAAAGAATATACTGTAAAATTCGAGGTAATTCCTCTAAAAGAATGTCAGCATTTGTTTGGATATATAGATGCTGACCTGTTTTTATTTTTAATCGTATTGCTTTAAAAATACACTTTTAATTTAAAATTTCTGGTATCTGAAGTACTTAACACTTATAAAACCAGTGGACTCTTACTTGTATAAGTTATACATATGATAATATAAAAGGGCTAGCAACTTTACTAGCTGTGTTATAAACTAGGTCATACCAATCAATCTAATGCCAGATTTCTTGCAGCATTCTCTCTAGGACAAGAAACAGACAAATAAAAAGCAATCTAGTCATGAACATCACAAACTTGTTTACAAGCCATCTTTGGACTGATACATCTTTGGACTGTGCATTAATTACGTCTTTGTATAAGAATGACATATTTTCTTATTACCACCTTTTATTTCAGAGCATTGGGGAGTCAACAATGTCTGTTGTGTTAAATCAGCTGCTGCCCATGATTAAGCCTTTGGACCAGAGGACCAATGATGACTACAGCCCTGAAGAGCTGTTGATCCTCCTGATATATATTTATTCTGTCAGTGGAGAGTTCACAGTGGACAAAAACCTGGGGGAAGCTGAAGAAAAAGTGAAGAAAGCATTGGCTCAGGTCTTTTGTGAAGAGTCTGAATTGTCACCTTTGCTACAAAAAATCACAGGTGAGTGTTTGATAAAAAATATAGGACATAAACATCACTGATATAGAAAAGGGTTTAAAAATAAAGGCATTTTAGAAAGAGGTGAAACCACCTTCATTGGAGTTGTTTGGAATTTTATGAGGCCTGATGAATACTAGCCAGCCTTTAGGATTAGAGGTTTTCATTGCAATATTTTTTTTCCAGCTATAGTGAAATTATCTTCTAATTGCCCATCACAGCTCCTATTTCTAGAGACTTGTTAAAATAGCAAAATTTTCACAGGGTGTAATATCTTTAAGAAAAAATAAGATGTGCAGGCTATTCAAAGGGTTTCTGTTGACATAGTTTCTTTGAGATTGTCATTTCAAACTTAAACACACACACACACACACACACAAAACTGTTTCCCTAAAATGTTATGCAATGTCATAAAATTGAAAATTGCAATTTTTGAGAGTACTTTTATACTTTTTACTTCTCATATTTCATCTTGAATCTGAATTAATTGGTAGTATCCCAGATAATATCCGAATATCCCAGTAAAGGAGGCTATGCTGATTCGGGAAAGAAATATACACTCTAACCATTTTTACTTTTAATAAGAACTTTGATGTAACTCATAGAGACATTCATTTGTGTTTTTCTTATCAAACTCAGTATTATTTCTATTTTGCACAAAGCTTATTTCCATTAGTATGGATGGAGCCTGGGTCTGTTTAAGAGTGGAAATTGTTAAAGCTTACACACAAAACTTAAATAGTCTAAAAACATATGTAGCTTCCATTCATTCATGAGTGTGTGTGTGTGTGTGTGTGTGTGTGTGTGTGTGTAGGTGTGCAGACCTCTCCATTCAGGAAGGCTCCACTAAGGCACATTATGTATTTCCCAACTCCTCTTCCTGTTGCCTGTTGCGCCTCACTGAGGGGAGCGTCCAGACCACTCCGAAAGAGGCTGTGTAGCTGTCCACCGAAGTGCCCCATGCATGGTGCTGGCCTTCATGCCCACGGCTGACCTTTTCTATGTTTGGCTATGGAAAATGAAACCCTGACGAGATGGAAACAGAAGTTTCCACAAAAATGAAACATTTCCTTGCTTAGTATAGAACCTCTCTGCCAACTTAAAATCTACTTAAGGAAAGCTTGTGGAATTTGCTCCCATTTCATTAAGTTACAGCTCTATATGCGTCTACGTGTTTGTTTGGCTATAAATGAATATTGACTTAGGAAGGTTTAATATGGTTTATACAGTGCTCCAAACAGTAATTTGATTCAAAGTAAATTTGAACGCCAAGAGACTTTAATTGGGAGTTATTCTTAAAATGCATAATTTCAGAAACAGACAACAAAGATGGTTTGTTTTAGCTGAGGTTCTTTGGATGGCTTTTCTGTAACATTAGTATGTTGCTGTATTATTTTGGGAATTGAAGTCATGCTGGAAGAGCATTCGTTTAATACTCGCTCAAGGTGTTTATTGACCCAGCATTTCACTCTTTATTACTTTCTCTATGATTGCTTAGGATATTGCATTCTCTTGCTTTTAAATGTGACTTCACATTTAAAAACACTTCTGTACCTTCATGTTTATATCAGGAAATTAGTAAGTTTAGCAAATGAAGCTTAAAAATAAGAATTTGTGGAAATTTTAGTATATTTAAAAATTTTAGAGACATTTTGTAATATGAAGTATACATTCCTACGTCAGTAAACTTTGTATGTACAGTTTAAGCAGGGTGGGTAAGATGCACTAAAATTTGGCGTAGGTGAACTTACTAGTGGGATACATATGCGTCACTCCACCTCTATGGACACCAAAAGGACTTTTTTCCTGAAGAGAGACTTTTACTTGGCCATAGTAAGTATCTTGGAAATCCAAAGGTTCTGAGAAGTAGGGTTTATGTCTACAATTAGCTGCTGAGGCAACTGTTTACATCTCAGGAAAAAAGCACTAGGATGGTGTGGGAGTAGCAGTGACTCAATCCTGTAGAACAAGGTGGGATATTCCCTTATATATTGAAAGAATAGAATCACCTTCCAAATTGCCTTACAAATGCTTGGGCAATCGTGGAACTAGGTTAACCTGGCTTTACCATGAACTTGCGCACAGTGCTGGGTTTATGTTATTCCAGTTTATAGTCTTGGCTTACTTGTTACTGGGTGGCAGAATTTCTTTTATGGCTTGTGCACATTTTGGGGTTGATGAAATTTGGTTTAAAACTATTATTGAAAGCAAGCAATTAATCAGTAAAACTCCACTTTTCATATTATAATTTTATTAATCTTAATGTTAATAGAATCAAGAAAACAATGCTTTTTCTGTACTGAAAACTCAAGCATGTGATCATCACCTAAAAGTGAAAGGATCAGAATTTGAACCCAGGTGTTCTGGGTCTGGAGCCCAGGTCTTGACAAGAGATTCTAAACCTGCTACCAACTCACTTCCATAACCATTGCATTTATTATATTTTGTAACTGAGGCTTGCTTAAACTTACTGTTTTATGCCACGCATGCCCAGCCATTCCATCATGTTCTTATTTTACAAACAGTGAATTAATATTTGGTTAATGTTGTAGATATCGCCTGTTCTTTTAACTCTGTCTGTAATAGCTACTTATAGATGTTTCCTCATGCCTTCCTATTTTCATGCATGTATTCTCTTTGTTTCTGCATTGCCATTAAGAAATTAAAATATTATTTCTAGTCATTGAAATCTATTGGTTGCTAGCTTTCTAAAATAGGAGTGGCAAACTTAAATTCTTTTTATTTCAATGATATCTCTTGACAATAATTGCCCTGTGTTTAAAATTCATATTTCCTTTTTATATGTTGAATATGTAATTTACTTTTGGCGATTTCTTTCATTTCTCCCTATTCTTCCCTTTTATGGAAAGCACAATGAGAAATTGTAATTGGCAAAACATACCAAAACTTAAGAATGGTCAACGGCAGTGTACTATTTTCCTTTTGATAGCTACTTTTAGGGAGAATGGCAGGCAAAAACTCTCTTTTCTACTCACACAAAATAACACGGGCTGGCTCCCTGAGTGTCAGGGATAGGAATTGTAAAAAGAAAATTGGTATGGCCTGAAAATATCATTTACTGTGCTTTCTCAGTCTTGCTAAGTTCAAAGAGATTATCAGTTTCTGTATATGTTAGTGTTTGCCTAGCAGTCATAAGAGAAAACAAAGGAAAACCATTTGAACTTTCTTCAGAGAATGAAGTCAAAATTCTAATTTTAAAGATCTGTGTAAACTTGGAATGTCATCATACAGGGAGGTGTATCAGATAAAGCATAGAGCTTAGATGTAAAAATCCCTGATTCAAAAGTCCTGGCTCTGTCATTTCCTAGCGGTGTGTGTTAGTCATCGTATCGTCCATCTTTGAACCTTGACAATAAACGTAAGTGCTATATTGATGACCACTCAGTGATTTTACTAAAAATAAAATGATGTTATATGTGAGCTAATTTCCAGTCCATACACACTGTAAATAAGTAATCATCTCCTATGTCTGTTGTTATTTTGATAGCTGGTAGCTGTCATGTAGGGCAGTACTTCCCAACCTTAATCACATTGTGACACACAGACAACGAGTATGCTTGCATAGTGTACTCAGGCAAGTGGACAGAACTTTTTGGTCAGAAGCAACCAGCCCTGGGGCTTTGGCCAGTCCAAACCCTACCTACCTAACCTGTGAGCCGAAGTGAAACAGCTTGGCACACATGTAACCTAATAGGAGCAAATCAGTACTCGAAGGGTATGTTGGTCAGAAGGTTCTGGAACCAGAAAAAAAGGAAAAAAAACTTGTGTATAGTTTTTGACACCCAAAACTATTTTGGAAAAACTTTTTGGTAAACAACTTTTATGTTGTTTATTGATTTATGTCTCTAGATTTTTATACTATCTTTAAAGGAAAGGTCAATAGGGGCTAGATCTGTTGAGTTTAGTGTAAAGCTAGGGAATGAGTGATTCAAAGTATCTAAAAAAAAAAATCTATAGTTCAAGATAAGGGTATAATGATACCATGGAAACTGTATTTATATTTATTACACTCTTATTCTTCTTCCTGTTGATAATTTGGGGTTATCACTTATTGTACCATTGTATAAGGATTACACCTGGATATATATAGTGGGAAATTTACCAGATTAGCTTAACAAATAGGGATTTATATTTTCTCAGCAGGAAGTTCAGAGACAGGCAGCAGAACTCATGTTCTTTCTGGCTCCTTTCTTTCTTTCTTTCTTTCTTTCTTTCTTTCTTTCTTTCTTTCTTTTCTTTCTTTCTTTCTTTCTTTCTTTTTCTTTCTTTCTTTCTTTCTTTCTTTTTCTTTCTTTCTTTCTTTCTTTTTCTTTTCTTCTTTCTTTCTGGGTTTGTCACCATGGTCATGAGGTCGTCACTTCTCCTTGACTTAGTATGTCCATGCTTGAAAGTAAGAGGTATATATTAACAGAGGCTGCCCTTTTTCATATTAGGGAACACAGTAACATTTCTCCTGTCCTACTTGTATCATTGGCTAGAACTGGGTTTCATGATCACCTCTGGCTCCTAGAGTATTTTTAACTGGCCATCTATTTCTCATGACCAAAGTCAGAGTTCTGTTAGAAGAAAGAAGGTGAGAATGGACAGTAAGTAAAAAACTTGTATTTGCTGCAGTTATCATTTTAGGCTTCTCTGATAGGGAAAATTGTAAGGGAAGATAATATACTGTGAGGTGGAGTGATGCCCATGGTACTTTAATCCACAGTTATAATATTGATGTTTCTTTTACAGTATAAACTGAAATAAGGTGCTATTGTGTGCTAGTATCACTGGACTTACATCACAAATATTTTCAACCTATCAATATTTGTTGAATATGTCTACATACCTGGCATTATTCCAAGCTCTTGAAGCATAGAACCCCTGGGGGCAGTGGTAGTGAAATGTAAAGGTTCTCAGCACAGGATTAGGAGTTGTGTGCCTGGGTTTTAGTTCTGACTCTGAATTTTAGTAGTTGTGCCATCTTGGTAAGTCATTTAACT